GTTGAAATTGTGAAGCATACATTATTACTGAGCGGTTTTCTTATCGCAGAATTCGGATCTTATTTGTTGCGACACGAGTTGCATCGTGTTCACCATACATAGATCGAAACTCTGCCAAAAAAGCTTCCAAATTGTCCAATATTGGATTTCGTTGTTCAAAAAAAGACGAAAACCATGATAATGCTGAACCAGAAAGTAGAGTGCCAATAAACCTGACTTGTGATCCTGGAGTTGGATAGCTTTGTGGATGAAGTTCAATTGCCAATTGTACTTGATTGATGAACCCTCGAAACTTTGATCTTGTACCATCAAATTTCTCAAGTAAAACAATTCTTGGTTCTCTAGTGCTTACAGGGTGTTGTACAATTCGAGAAGGAATGTGATTTGGTGTAAATGTTGAAGTAGCTCTGATCATCTCTATATCTCTACTTTCTGCTATTCTTGTTCTTTCCTGTGTTGGTGAATTGAGTTGATGCATCGCAAGCATTAACTCCCTCATTTGCTCTTGCATTTGTGCCATTGCACTCTTCATTTCAACAAGCTCTGCCATAATGGTACTAAGAAGAAAAATTTGTTTGATATTGCTCAAGACAAAGAAAAAGAAAAGACTTGATAACAAAGAAGATACTAAGAACAATATCAGTTTAGAAGTGGATAATCCGCAAACTTCTAATATGCTTATGTCTTATTAAGAGAAAGGGGTAATCCACTCTTACTCAAGAAAAACAAAGCTCTGATATTGTAAGTGCACTCTTGTCAATCCGTCAAGGACAAGAACTCGATGAAAAAACAATTCAAACAAGTGAGCATTCACTCAAAGAGAGGTAAAAAAACATATATAAACAAGTATATATATTGAAAGAGAAATTGGAATGGCTATTGCCAAAAGACAAGAAAACTAGAGACCCTTGAAACAGACTAGAAGCAAGAAAGGAGTTGACAAGAGTGAAGAAGCCTTCACTCTTGTCTCTATATATACTCTCTAACTAGGGGCTACGTAGTGACGTTCTATAGGACCTCCAATATGTGTTGACTTTGTAGGACACATGCCTTGACTTACAAGGCAAGTTTTTCTACGTGTGGGCCACATAGTTAGCTTGATCTTCAAGCTAACAACATGTGTGGCACATGACCAACTTGTTGACCACGTTTCTAATCCAAAAAGTCAATTAAAGACACCTATGAAGTCAAAGCAGCGTCTAGGAAATTTCTAGGAAGCTTCTATATTAAATATTATAGAATTAACTTACTTTTACCTACTTTTACTTACTTTTACCTATTTCTATATGTAATTATTAGCTTACATGATTATGGCCGTGACACCTCTTGCAACTAGCCTTATTTTATATTTTTCAATACTTCCATTAGCTTTAGATTTTATTTTAAAAATCCACTTTGAATTGATTGGTTTTTGCTTAAGAAGTAAATTAGTCATGTACCATGTATTATTCTTGTTTAAGGATGTAATTACAGCATTGATTACTTTTTGTCAATCTTGAGTATCAAACCTCTCCATTGCTTCTTGAATGGAGTTTGGAGCTTTTATATGAGTAGAAACAAGGTGGGCTTAGTGATGCCGATTATATTGTCATTTATACTCTTTTCTGCCTTATATAGACTCTAACAATCTTGTCGTTGGTTGAATAATTCTTATTGGTCGAGAATAAGAAGGAAGATTTGGGGTTTATAATGTAGAATGGACTTCATCATCTTCAAGAGGTAAGATCTCTTGATTATTTAGTAATGATAGTTGAGAGAAGTCTCTTATGACATGAATTTAAGAAGGAGGTTGTTCTCTCACATTTGAAGAAGTATTATGTATTGGTTGTTGATCAAATACATGTATTTCTTATAGTGGTGGCATTGGTGGAGAAGACATGCCTTGAATAAGAGGTATGTTTTTTTTATTGGTCTTTATTGAAGGATTTAGAGTTACTATTCAAACTAGTTATTGAAGAGTGTTTGAATAATTCTAAATCTAATAAGAGTTCTTCATTGTTCTTTTGTAAGTATGTGGTTGTTTGGGATCATGTAGATTCTCATTGAAGAGAACATCTCTTGAAATGAGAATTTGCTGATTTTATATATTTATAAGTCTATAGGCTTTAGATTCTTCACTATAGCCTAGAAAGATAGTGTCTTATAAATGAGAGTCTAACTCCTTTCTTGTTTCTTTAGGAATGAATACATGAGCTTTGCAATCAAATATTTTAAGATAAAATAAATTTGGTTGTCATTTGTACCATAATTTAAATGATGTTTTAGTAACTTGTATAGATTTTATAGGGCTCCTATTTTGGAGGTAATTTGCTATTTGGAGTGCTTCACCCCAAAAACAATTAGGTAAGTTTGAATAGGATAGCATTGCAAGTATTGCTCCTATTAATATTCTATTTTTTCTTTCAAAAACACCATTTTATTGTGGTGTATAAGCTGTAGTATATTCTTGTTTAATGCCTTCTTTGTTACAAAAATCTTTAAAGTCATTGGATGTATATTCACCTCTACAATCAAATCTTGAGGTTTTGATTTTAAATCTTGTTTTTTTTTTTTTTTTTTTTTTTTTTTTTTACAAATTTTATATATAAGGTGAATTTTTTAAATGCTTCAGATTTGTATTTCATCAAATATACTTGGCATTATCTTGTTAGATCATCAATAAATGTAATGAAGTAAGTATATCCTAAATATGTGCCTACTTGCATAGGACTACAAATATTAGAATGTACAAGTTCTAACAATTGGGTAGCTCTTTGTGCACCTTGTATAGGAAATTTTTCCTTATGTTATTTATCTTCTATGCAAGGTTGGCATAAGGTAAATTTTCTTTCATCAAAGGGATCAATCCTCTTTGCCATAGTTTGTATTTATTTGAATCTTTGAGGATTCATGTATCCTAGCCTTAGGTGCGATGAATCAATTTTATTTAATTGTGTTGTTGCTAGAATAGCAATTTGAAGGTTGTTTAAAAGTATTTTGTATCTAATTCAAATAAATAAGGATTTAATTTGCATATTACAATGATTTGACCAAATTTATTTATAAGTGTAGTAGTACCAATGCTTATACAAATTTCTCCTCTTGCCTTATCTAATTGTTTGGTAGAGAAAAATTCTTTGTAAGTCTTGGTATATATAATACATCATGTATGATCTTTTCATTATCATTTGTAAGTTTGATATTTACATCACTATGTCCTTTTATTATGTATGATGTAACATCATCTCTTAAGTAGACAACTTGTTTGTCTTCACTTTTGATGTATTTAACAAATCCTTCTTACTTATGACACATATGTTGAGTTGCTCTCGAGTCCACATACTACATTGAATTTGAATTTTCTTTAAGTATAAGTGCTGCCACATATAATTTATTTGTTTTGGTAACAACATTTTTTTCTTTTTTGTTATTACAATTTTCAATTGCTATTCTTGTTATACAATCTTTAATCAAGTGACTTGATTTCTTGCAAAAAAATTACTTGTCAATAGCAAAATTATTCTTTTCATGTGGTTTGGAGGTAATACTCTCTCTTTGTGAACCCCTTTTGAAATTCTTATTTAAATAAAATTTCTTGTTGTTATTCTAAAATTTCTTACCTACATATAAGGCTGAATTATTATCAAATATTAAACTCATGTTTTTCATGAGTGTTTCTTCCTCAATCAAATTTGTTATCAAGGATGCTAATGTGATCCCAAGTTGCCTTCTTAAGGAGCTAATGAAGGATCTATAACTTAAAGGCAAACTTCTCATTAAAGTGAGAATTGCTTCATCATCTAGAACTGTTGATCTTGCTACCAATAATTGTTCCATATGTGCTCTAAAAGTATGTATGTGTTTAATAACACTATCACATTTTCTCATTTTTAAGGTGTATAATTTGTCTTTTAAATACATCTTAATTATTGCATCATATGATTCAAATATTTTTACTAATTCTTTCATGCTGAATTTGCTGATGTGTAAGGTCAATACAAAGTAGATAGTATTCTATACAAGAGACTAGTGTACTATATAGTATAATTCTCCCAATAATGATCACAACAAAGCAACAACTGACACAGGAAGCACCAGGTTTAGTGTTTGTGAAGCGCCAATTTTCACGACACAAGACCCATCAGCCACCATGACTGTCTCGCTCCAGCCGAAGGCACCTCGAAACACACACATACACACACGTAGGGACACACACTACACACAGTGATACACAATAATATATATAGACATAGTCACACAGGCATATATATATCTATATATAGATGAATACACACTTACATATATATATATGTATATAGATGAACACACACACACATATGAACAGACACATAGAGACACAGGCACGTATATACATGGCGAAAAGACCTTTAGCGAGCTTTAAAAACGAGCCTGATTGAACTCCTGGACCATAGCGACGAAATGCAACTCGCGAAGTCGCAACACCAAGCGGCAACTGACTGCTCTTTTTCTTCTTCTGCTGCGGTTTCTTCATCCACATTTAACACAGACGCTATTTCACTTCTCACTGAGGCCCGGTCGTCGCCGTCAAATATGTGCATCACCCGAAGAGATAGATGCCCCGCTTATCTGGAGCTCCAACAATTGGACTTGGGGCCGGAGCGAGCAGGCCCCATGTGTCCCAGTCACACGCCATTAATGCAGCCCTGATGTCCTGAGGAGTGGATACATAAGCCCACAGGCGCAGGTGCTCAGAGCCTAGTGCCGCATTCCCGACTTGCCCGCGTTCACGTGCGAGCGTCCCCACAACCCACTGCCGTGCCACTCCGCTTCACTTTCCAGATTGTCCTCGCATCTATCCCGTGCTATCCATTGGTCTCAGCTTTTTCCGCTCATGCGTCATCAGCATTAAATTTAAATCCGCTTTAAAGCCCCCACGTCTCCTTGGTCGTCTGAGTAGCTCAGAAATAATCAGGTCTGGCGTGGGATTTAGTAAGTGATTTCATGATTAAGATGCGTTAGTGGGGTGTTTAATGAGATACCCGTCACCGCGTTTGTCATGCATTGCCTACGTTCAAAGCCTGAAGCTGGGCGGAAAGAGGGAGAGATGCGGTGCCGAAGCTAGAATTGGTTGCTGATGGTGATGAAGGCTCTAAAGATGGAGCCCGTGGACCTAAACCGCAAGAGAGAAAGGTGGCAGTTGGCGTGCCCGGTATGGAATCCCTCGTGGGGATCCGCCAGATTTTCTCGCAGGAATTGGAGCAGGTTGGGCGGGTGTACCTCTATGGGCGTTAATGTTTAGCAGTGGCTTTTGCGGGCTTTTTCATATGGTGAAAAGTCGCAATGCAGGTCACCCGCAGGAGTTTGGTGCGATTGAAAGGCAGTCGCTGAGTTTGCCTGAAAAGCGATAGCACTCCCTCTGTTTCTCGCAGTATTGATGACAGCCTGACTTTAGAGCTGATCTGGAAGAGTTTCTCTGGCAGGCTGAACTATAGTCGGCTGAGTCTGTGCCGATGTCTTGCAATCCTCAGTGCCTAGCCAGTTTCTGTGGAGGAGAGAATGTGGACTAGCCAGTGCAGACTGACAGATGTGCCAAAGAGAATGTGCTGGGTGGTGTTCATATGTTGTGTGTGCTACAATCTGTAGTGTCAGATGAGTGATAGCCGAGGAATTGACCCTCCTCGAATCTTGTTGAGACCTGCCTCAGATGTCTTCGCCCTTCCGACGCTTGAATGATGGCAGACTTCTGGTAGCTCGTCGCAGATCTATCCGGTACCACCAGCAGTGCAGAAGTAGCTGGGAGTTGCGCAGATTGTGCCTGTTAGTCTCGAAGCGTTTTTAGTTGTGCACTGGTATTCAAGAGAATGCTGAAGAATCTTAATCGGTTCTCAAGGGTTTTCCCGAAGCCGGGAAATGTGGTCGTTGGGAGCTTGCCAAACGGTTGCTGTATGGTGAAGCAATAATGGAAATGTACTCTCATTATTTATCTTCACGACTGAAATAGTTAGAGGAAGTAAGCCTAACACGAATAGAGGAAAAAGAACAACAAAATGGGGGGAGTAAAACAATTTCAACAGTATCCAGGCTTAGAAGATGATATTAGAGATCTCCGGTATGCTCTCTCAGGTACATCCTTAACCTGATTGATCTTGAACATTTCTGTGATCATTTCGTTGCAGTAAATTGGAGATGCTTTGTACCTTGAGGCTATGTTGTTGATGATGTTGCCCTTTAATACTCCGTGACAGGTCTATTTCCGAATGAGAGGAAAGTGGTCGAGATCCTAGGCAAGAGGAGCCAAGCGCATCGAGAGAGCATTGCCGAGGGTTACAAGCTCTTGTTTGCTGAAAGCTTGCCTAAACGCCTCAAGGCGTCCATGAGTTGCAAAGCTGAGAGATGTCTGATGCTGTGGATGATGGATCCGTCGGAGCGAGACGCTGTGCTTTTATACGAAGCTTTGAGTCAAGGGGGTCCTAAGAAGGATCGTGCAGTGATTGGAATGCTGTGCACACGATCCTCCGCACAACTATACCTGATAAAGCAAGCCTACTACAGTGTGTTCTGTCAGACACTCGAAAATCACCTTGACGGCTCAGGGTTTGTCTTCCCAGAGCCCCAGAATAAGGTACTGTCCAGGCTTTTCTCTTCTTTTCAGCGTTCAACATTATGTGGTGTGAGGTCAATATTCGAGAGAGTTTTTGCGTGACAAACTGAAACATATTTCTGTGCTGACGGGTTCAGAGAAAATGGGCATTTTGGAGAAGCGCCGAACCTAAGGTGGAGGACCCACCGAAGAGACAGCTTGCTATTACAAAGGTAAAATCCTCTTTAGTCCGAAGGATTTCGATCATCTGTGCCCTTTTGTTGCGCCAAGTTGGAAGGCAAAGGAACTGAAATCTGAACACCTTGTCTCCTTTGTTTTTTTCCCGCGCTTTCGGAACAGCTCTTATTGGCGCTTGCGCGCGGCAGTCGACCCGAAAACACAACCGTGGATCGCCACATTGCTTTAACTGATGCACATCAACTCAATAAAGTGTGCTCTGGAAAGCTGGGTAATGAGGAGACTCTTATTCGAATCTTCAGCACCCGGAGCCCATACCAGCTGACGGCCACCATGAACTTCTACGAACAGCATTACGGTCATGACTTCGAAAAGGTTGGCTCTCTTTTCTTTCTTCCCATCTCTGTTGCAATGAAGGCCTCTTAAACCTCTGATTCTAGGGGGGGGGAGGGGAAAGAAAAAAAAACAACAACAACACTTCTCAACTCATACATATTAAACCCTACACTGGCGACACGCAGGCTTTGAGCAAGAAAGATGCAGGAGAGTTTTTACAGGCGTTGCGAGCAGTCGTGCAGTGTCTCCGTCGACCTTCCGAATTCTACGCCGAGGTATAAACTCAGCTGCTGTTCGGTGTCTCTTCTGTACATCGCACATCGTCTTTGGTGACCACCAGGCGCTGAATAACACACGTTACTATGTTTTCTGTTTCAGGACATCATAACCGCGTTATCAAAAGGGAACGGGCCCGTGGATGAAGACACCCTGGTGCAGATAATCACTACTCGAGCGGACGTGGACATGCACATGATCAGGATAGAGTTCATGAAAGAGTGCAAGAGGGCGCTGGAGCAGGTGATAAGCGAGCGAGCGATGGGCGTCATCGGCCAGTTTCTAGTCACCGCCATCAGACAAAGAGACATGGTTTTCAACTCCAGGCCCACCTCGGAAGGCTCCACAAACTCCTATTACACCAACCCACTCTCCACCGGATCGCGACAATCCTCCGACAGATCCCAACCTGACACTTTCCACAGCGGCAGCCAGGGATCCAGCGGCACAAACTCGTCTCACAACTCATTCACCTCGAAATCGAACCAGCACGCAATTGTGAGTGCGTCAGGCTCATAAGACAGATATCCACCTCTCTCTCTCTCTCTCTCTCTCTTTCTTCTACTGATCCAACCCGTGTGGAGGTCTCCACACTTCCTTGTACAGCGGGACAACTTTTCCACTCCATCCACATCCCACACGATGCTTTCCACCGAAAATCTAAAGCATCGCCGTTTTCATGGCGCAAGTTGAGTCCTTTTCCCCAAGACAGTTGTGTGTGTTTTTTTGCGGCTGCTGTGCTTAAGGAGAGGTGTAAGCTTTGTCAATGGAGGTTCGCACAGCAGCACTTCTCTACTTTGCTCATGAGAACCGTGTAGCTGTTCATTTTTTATTATTATCATTATGTTATTATGCAACAGAAATGGGGCACCTTCAAAATTCCTCGGAAACGCCACCGGACTTGTAGAGCTCAAACTGCCCATGTACTTGTAGTTAGAAACCCAACCTTTGGAGGCGCTGGTGGTGGTGTAAAGCTTTTAGCTCCATTTGTGATATCAAAGTTAGCAGTGAAACTCAAGCTGGGTTTTATGTTCTCATGTGTTGTATTTGTATTTGGCTCATTCTCACCAAGAGCATTGAAGTATTGTAGATGAAATGAAGGTGTCTTTGATGTGTGTGTATTTGCTACTTCCTGCTTTGTTAGGGTGGTGCGTGTTGCAATTGGTGATGGTGAGTTTTCAGATTGGATGTGATTTTGTAACATGGAATCCAACATGTAACATGAAACTATGATTTATTTTTTATTTTTTATTTTTTTTGTCGGGCAATTTGGTGAATTCTTTGGAAGTCTTGGAATTTTTGTATCTGTTTGAGAAATTTTTGTGCCTTTGCATTGTATTGTGTAAACAAATAGGCTTGAGTTTAGGAATAAAGTACTAAAAGCTAATTTATTAGCACGTTGAATGAAACGTGATAATTTGTGCTTTTTTTGGGTCTCAACTCATTATCGAAATGTCTTATTTATGGTTTCAAAGTAACTATAAAAGAAACAAGCAACATTAAACGAAAAGATAAAAGAGCCAAAAGTGCTCAACTCATGTTCCCTTTTTCTTTTCTTTTTTGCTTTTGTGTTGAGTAATGAGGGATTTAATCTGTTGCTATTACCCATTTTTGAAATTGTGACACAAACTGGACAATCAGTTTCAATTGTTAAAATTAATGCATACTTCTAATGTATCTTGTAGTTTCAACAAAAGTACAAACCCATCTGGAATTCATGCTTATTTCATTTAAAACTTACTGAAATATGTCAAAAAAAATTGTATGTTTTTGTAATTCTGCAATTATAGTAATATTCCTTTGTACAATTTATTCACAGAAGTAATCATTCATATATACACACATAATTGTTCCTTCATAGAATCGTTCATTCAATTTGAAATTTTTAGACAGGGTAATTTGAAGAAACATGTAGTGATGTTCTGTACTATGCAAACTGTCATAGAATTTTTTATTATTGTTAGGTTATATATATATCATGTCTCATAATATTGTTACTGGTCCACTAAAAAGGAGTTATTCATATCAAAACAAGACGGTTAAAAGCATGTGTATTGGTCTATGTATCAAAATTCAACATTCAAATCTTAAAATCTAATTTATTGTGATCAATAAATAAAACATATTAATAAAATGGTAACTGCACAACAAAATATCTCAAAAAATTGTAATCAACCTTAAAACCTATCACGAATATGATCTTCCACTCTATTCAGGTACTAAAAACTTTATTTGGTTTACAAATTGAGTGAAGCAATAAGAAAAAGATCAAAATCATTATAAAAATACAGAATATTAATATCATTGTGCAAACTTTACCATTAACATGTTTTAAAAGAAAAGTTAACAAGATAGAGTTTTTTTTGCTTTAAACTTGCATCTTCAAGTCAAGTACCTAGAGAATTCATGACCAACAGTGAAGGACCTAAAGTATTTACAAGCAAGGTTTCTTTTTGGCACACATAGGAAGGTGTATCAGTTTTTTTAACTTGTGTATTTGTGCATGCATTGGATGCATTAATTAAAATAGTATCTAATTTCAATTGATGTTGCAATATTTCTATTGTATTTGATGACATGATTTTCTATTTCAATTGCCTTTTATTAATAATAATGGGACTTAATTTGAACACCAAAACAAATTTTCTTTTTGAGTTTATATTGGTTATTTCGTAATGACTCAGAATAAGTCAAGTCCACTGAAACCGATAATTTTCGACTAAATCCATCATTAAGAAGAATGCACTAAAAAGCCTATCCGCTTCTAGTCAAGATAAGTCAGTTCTTAAACAAACGTCATATGCCTGTAAGTTTAATTAAATAGTTAATTGTTATAATCTGTGATTATACATCCATAACTCCCCACAACTATTGGAGATTAATTTCATTTTCTTAATATCAAATTGTTCCACTTTGAGGTCATTTTTTTGTAAATAGGAACTTGAGTTTTGTGGAATTCATGTTCCTCAACTGAACAAAAATATCACCAAAGTTGAATAAGCCATCTTTGAATTTAAAAAGTTCATTCCTTTGTATATATATAGATATATGGAATGTAAATAAAATTTTCATTGTTTATTTTTTAAATCATGTTTATTTATTTCTCAATCTGTAAACTAATTTAGTTACAACAACACTTAATGTAGAATTTTCTGGAAAAGTATCCAATTTTTTTTTATTACCTCTCATAGAGATATAGAATGGAAAGGAAACAATCATTTCACCATATATGCAAATGCAGAAAAATCAGCTAGGTTTTGTGATGAGATATTTAAAACTAAAATTATAAAGATTCATATTTGTATATAATATGAACACAAAAATTAAAGACCAGCATTATAAACTTAATTGATTGACCAACCAAAATTGTAAACCTCAAAATATGATGTGTATGCTTTATTTTATTTTTATAATTATGTAAATGTCATTATATATTTTGAGGTTATTAAAATATTTTTTATTGATTAAATTTTACTTAAGAAGGATTTTACGGAAATAAAATTAAACTCATTAGTGTGAATAATTGGATAATCAATTTATATATTTCACTTGTTTAGAAACAAAATTACTTATTATTTTTTACATTATTTCTTTTAGTTTTTTTAAAGGACTTCAAATATATTAAAAATTTATGAAACCCAGTATTCATCAATTAAGACTCACAAAAGGGATTATAAACAGCTCAAGAAAGGTTAATAAGATAATTAATACATTCTTATGTAAACTACATATTAAATTTTGAAAAATATAGAAATTTTATTGACATATATAATAATTATTAGTATGCTAAAAAGGTTTGAAAACATTGCTACAACACTTGTCTTAAATTAGTAAAAATCCATGACCCCTTCCAAAAAAGAAGTAATAAATTCTACAAGTATTTATTTTTACAATGTTAATTTTTTCCTATTATTAATGCAACTTTTTATTTCATATATGTATATATATATGTATATATATACATATACATATATATGTATATATTTATCTACATATGTTGGATATAAAAAAACTAAAAATATCTACTTTCAAGGAATAACATAATCTGAAATATTTCTATTTAACATTCTGTAAATGGTAACCATCTTGTGCAATTAGCACATTAGTTTTGTACAACAGAAGTTACAGAACATTATTGCAATCCATACAGACGTTATGAGATAACCCAACGCAACAATTCAACACATCTACAGAAATTTTTAAAAAATCATTCTTTTTATATACACACATACATGCATATTTTTTTTTAGTTATAATTTTTATAAATATGATACATCCATTGTACTCCTTTTTATTTTGTAATTTTTTTTCCCTCTTTTATAGTGTTCAGGAACACCTTCCAAATAATATTCATTCACACAAATAAATGTCAAATAAAATCTATATACAATTTTTTTTGATCTTAAGAAATGCTAGATTACTTGTAGTTGCTAGGTCCTTAAGAAGTGAACATGATACAACAGTATGAGCATGACATGTAGATGCTACAAATAAAATAAGATAAATTACATGCACGTCTGTCTAATCTCTTAATGGAAAAGACTATATGACCTCTGCAAAACGTAGTGTTGATATTTTATTAGAACAGCGAGCTATTAATAACCACGAATCTAAAATAAGTAAATAATATTTAGCAAATATTACACTGGGATTTGGTTCAAAGTTTTAGACTTGATAAACTTAGCATCTTGTTTCAAATTATAATTACAAATAATTTACATCGCACAGTAAAACAGAGGATTATTCAGCAATTTTTTGACATCCACATAAGTCTAATTAGCACAAACTTTTTACTCTTCATCATTCTGAAGTGGTTGTAGAAACAGCATTTATTAGTCTACAGTAATATATTCCAGTGATAATATCCACTCCAACCATCATTTTTAAACTCACACCACACTCCAAATGTGGGTTTATCTGTCAACTTTATATTTTCATTACTAATTAAACAGTTGCTCATTTTATTTTATTTTTATAGACATTAGATGAACAAAAGTATGAACTGAAGTTGTAAATCCCCATAAATAATAGGTTGATTACACAACTGAAAAATAAACACCCTGAACCAAATGAGTAAAAACCACAATTATATCTCTATCATACATCGAGTGATTATAACATGTTAATAGAAATTAATCAGACAATCAACAAGATAAACTGCCGAGCCCAATGCATCTCAATAAAAAGCAACCAAATAAGTCACCAACATGAATGGAACCCACAGCAATCACAACAAAGACAAACACATCATCATCAACAACATATTCATATTAAAAAAAGATCAAGACAACAAACCCTAATATGGTGGTAATTTCACTACTCTAGAAAAGTCGACAACCCTAATTGACTTTTGGCAAGCGGGACAACTTCCGCGCTCTTGCTAAGAAGCTGAGGGGCAACAGCGCAAGGGGCAAGACTGAAGCCTAAAAATACCGACAAGAGGAATAAAACCAGCAACAGAGTTCATGTAATTGTTGTAACTGCATCATCGCCGTGGCCCTGCTGCAGGATCCATCACCATGTGGATTCACCGCTCATGTGGCTCTCAGTAACTAAAGCCTTTCTATATTCTTTCTCCGGTGTTCAAATGCTGTCAAGGTTGGGTAAGAGTGAACGATCCAGGACACATTCATAAAACTCTACATCGGAGCATAATTTACACGCGCTCGTGCCCCAGAACTTGGATCGTGGGGTGAGGTAGATCGATCCATGGACTGAGAAGGCAAGACAGAGATAGGGAGCGAGCCAGTGAGAGCGAGAGAGAGTGAGTGAAGCATGCCAGTGATAGCAAGAGAGTGGAGTAGGAGAGGAGGGAGTTTAGATGTAGCTGAGCTCCTGATGCTTGCACCATAAGCGGCCGGAGGGGAGAGGATCAGAAGTCAGGCACAGCCAGACTGGAGTCTCGGCAGCTTCTTCCACGCCGATCAGTTGCTCGCTGCCGAACCTCCCGCTCGCAACATGGGCTTCGTAAGTGTCGTCGTCGATCTGGCGCCTGAACTTCCAGTACATGTCAGTCTGTACGAGCCCCGGGTGCGTGTTGTGGAGATGGATTTTGTGGCCGTGTCGCCGGTTGGCTAGTCGGAGTGTCAGCAGGCGCAAGTAGCCGTTGATAAGCGCCTTTGACATTCGGTAAGAATTGTTGGCGTAGCGAGCCCCCTCCCCGTTGCGACACGCTTGCAGGTACTCCTCGGCTGTCCTGTTTAAGAGCTCTTCGTCGAATTCGGTGGCGTCCATGAGCTGGCTTCGTAAATTGTCATCGTTGAGGTACTGCACGCCCACCGCATTGGCGATGGTGAGTGGAATCGTTTGACGTGTGTGTTGTGGACATTCGCGAGATTTGAAAAAACGAAAACAAAAAACAAAAAAAAACAAAAAACAAAAAATAAAAATAAAACAAAATAAAACATCAATTTGAAACAAACTCAATGGACCGATGAGGAGGAGGGGGGGGGGGGGGGGGCTCCACTCCCGACAGTCCTGCCCGGGAGCTGAGTGTGACAATCCTTGCTCCTGCATGGGAGCTTTTGAGCATCGGCAGAAGCGCTTCGATGACGTCGATAGTACCCCTGTAATTGACACTCATGGATTCGACAGCGTTTTCGTACGAGCTGTCATCATGGTAAACCGCAGCGTTGTTGACGAGGATGTCTAGGCCGCAGTAGGTCTCCTGAATCCAGTCTGCGAAATCGTTCATAGATTCCTGGTTGCTTACGTCAAGCTGATGGAAGACGACATTGTCTAAACCTTGGGCATGAAGCTCTTGAGTCGCCGTGATTCCACGGCTCTCATTACGCGCGGTGAGTACGACAGTCAGACCTTCCAGTGCCAGCCTACGCACGATTTCGAACCCAATGCCCTTGTTAGCTCCAGTCACAACAGCAACCGTCTCCAAGCTCCACCACCTGTAGTACCACAATCACGGAATAAACAGTTAGACTTCGTGAGACGTTCATGGAGATCCTTCATGGAGAACTCCCCTTTTCCCCTTCTTTTTTATTTCTTTTTCCCCTCTGAACATGCACATGTAGTTTTGTAACGACAAACAATGAACCCTCTACATGACAGCTGATGAATCTAACACCAGCGTCCAAGAAACTTGGTTTTCTGATTACGAAGCAGTTATAGAGGAAATTGAAATGTAGCTGCACAGAGAGAGCATCAATAATTCGGATCGTGCACTTCAAAAGCCTTGTGACTGTGTTTTTCGAGGGCCTTGGAAGGTCGACAAACGTTTTTCGTGAAGGTGTGCACAAGAACATCGCCCAGTGACCACAAACATTGTTGAGAGCAATCGACACACTCACCGATCTTGTGAGCGTGCTGAGCTCATGACTGGAAGAAGAGTGTCGCCGAACTTCAATGAACGGCGTCCCAGTCCCTCTATCCACGAGGATGAGGTCAACACTCACACCCTCACACCAGCACCGCACGATCACAGTTTCGCAGCCCCAAACATCTTCTTTCGCAACTTTCTCCTTTCTAACACGACTCTCTAAACCCTTTTTTTTCCACAATGCTCACATGAGCAATCGAAAGAGAAGCAGGGAAAGTTTGCACTGCAATTCCCTTCCCGATGCGAATGAACTTCCAACCATGCGGTAGCCTTGCAAGAGCTTGCAAAAGTTCCAAGCGGAGTGAGGCGGAGAATGGGGGCTGACATTCCTCACAGGAAGCGCACTCCTTCACAGGAGAGTGCAGCAAAACGCCTCCTGCTCAACTGTTGGGGTCACGCAATAGATGAGGAGAGACGGCTGCCTATAATTGTCACTCATCCCTTCGCGACCGTAGCATGTTCAATTTCACTCCTTTTTACTCCGGCTTCCCATCCACTCTGACATCGGTCCCGGGCACCGAGCTCATTGATCTTTTCGTAAAGATCGTACCGGTATTAGTAGCGAACTCCGAGGGGGGAGTCTATAAAAAGCAGTGTAACGCTATGTGCTGGGGAACACTGCGCACCATCATCCGAAAGTCCATCTCCTGGCAAAGCACTTCTCAGCTTCAAGGCCCGTGGGGGAATTTTTTGATGTCCTGACAATCCCTACTGTTCAACTCATATTTGTCTGCTAGCGACAGAATTTTGAAGTCTTATGGTGATCTGGTGTCCTGTGCTTGTCTGTGAACAAGAACAGTCATTATAACAACAGTGCACGTCTCTGTTTGTACTTCACAGTCCTTGGCTTTGTGAAAACAGTCTTCGGTCAAAACGGCTCACGTAAATAACGCGATTTCGTAATAGCGGCACGGTCTGCGCAAAACACAGAGAATTTTCAAACCGCCGCTTACATCGAACCTCCAAATACCAACGTGTTTGTAACCGATTCGTGCACACTGCCTAACTATTTTAACATGTAGAATATACTTTCATTTAACGACAAGTGAAAACTGTTCATTTCTCAGAAGCTTAGAGAAGATTAGCACGATTCTCAGCGGCTTGGGCTTCTGATGTCATCCATGAGCAGAGCGGGAGCCACATGAGGGGGATTATTACACGCCATCTGTTCATTAACTGCTTGATAGCAAGACCCAGTCGCGGCCAAAGCGCAACACACATGTAAAGAGGGGTTTGCACAAAAGCCATGGACTCCCTCGAAAAAGGACAAAACTCTCCATTCCGGAAGTTGAACTGTAACTAAACCGAACGCTTAAATTAGAACGAAAGAATAAATAGAGTTACATTCCTTGATCAGGGATTTAACTGTATGTTCCAGAAAACGACAAGTTGAGAGATCTAAATGCAGCCAGACTTCCGCGGGTCCCGCAGAAACGACGTGTGCGAAGATTGTCGTGTAGCGGAGTGTAAAACAAGCGAACACCGAGATGGGGTTGTCTTGCTCCCCCGTGCTGGCTGCCTGGTTCCGTCCCTCACTGGCAGCATCGCTGACATTTATTTAAGTAATGAAACAATTAGTGAATGGAAACGGGGGCAATCATGTGACCCCGTCGCGTCCCGTCTCCCCCATGTCCACATGGGTTGCAGATCAATGCCCTCTTTCTCTCTCTCGTTTTCTGTTTCTTCAGCTTTGCTTTTGCTTTCGTTCTGGCTCCTCCTCGATCTCACCCCATCTCCTCCCCCAGTTCTGCTACAACTTTGGGTTGGACTGCTTTTCGATTCTCGGTGGAATGAATGCGCTTGCACATCACCATCAACTTCTTCTTCTTCCTTCTTTCTATTCTTATTATTGTTCTTCTTCGTCGTCGTCCTCTCTTGTTGGGTTTCATGTCCCCAGACTGCTGGATGAATGAGGGATGTGACTTTGGATGGATATTGGATGTAAACTCATTCATTCGTTCATTCAGCGGGACTCCATTGTCCTGGGTTCATGGTGTTTGTGTCTTCTTCATTCTCAATTTATGCTCTAATAATGTGTGCCTCTTTCATTTCTTATGGGTTTCCAGTCATCTCCATGTATGTATGTCTACATGTGTCTCTCTCTCTCTCTCTCTCTCTCTCTTTATATCTCTCTCTATGTATGTATGTATGTATGTATATATATATATATAGTATTTATTTATATTGTAAAGTATGACTGTTTTTGTTTCTATAAATTTTGATTCATTTGCATGGAAACATTTTCTTTGAAACATGTTTTGGAGTGACAAGTTGATGAATCAAAATGAACTTTTTATATTTCTGTGATTTTTTATATATATTTTTAATGATTTTTTTAAAAATAAATAAATAGATAGAGTTAAATGTGTTCTTATCCTTATATATTTTCTGCTTGGAGAGATTTTATGAGACCATATACTAGAGCTACTATTGTGAAAAACAAAAATAGAATTTGGAAGGATTGAATAATTTGTGTGTCTTTTTATTTTTAATTGTTGTAGTGGGTGTCAGGTGTGATAACATTCCTTCTTTATTATTTAGATTGTTGGTAGGAAAGTGCTACCCATGATGAAAAATATTTAAGATGTACCTTTTTTTTTTTTTTTTCCTATTTTAAAAGTGTGCAATTCAATCCAAAGAAATATAATAAATTATCTTTTTGGATGTATGAAAAATAATTTTCTATGGATTTGAATATGCATTGATTGAATAAACAATCTTTTGGATTTTTTTTTTTTTTTTTTTTTTTTTTTCCCTTTTCTTTTTACTTGTTTTTAAATTCAAAGTATAATGTGCATATAATGAAATTTCAAACGAGTAATGTAAACTATGAAAAAATTCTTATGTTTTCACTTTTTTTTCTCTTTTCTTTCTTTCACAGTTTGATATATTTTTACACTTGATGAAATTTACAGTCATGTCTATTTTCAAAATTACATACATATGTTAACTTCTGATTAAAATTGCATTTTAAAATTTTCATTGAAAATTTTATTGTAATTCCTTTGTTTTTATATATTTAGTTTAACTAACTCCATCCAATTAAGAGTAGGTGCTAGTTGAAATTCAAAAAGTGAATCCAGATTAATGTAAATATTACCACACATCAATTTGAGAATATATAATTTACGAAATCAACAAGTTTAGAACTTGAAATATAAACTTCATACGTATATTGATAGGTTAGAGAATTTGAAATAAGCTTGAAGTACATTAATGTGATATATTAGATTTCAATAAAATATAAAATTTAATGACATTAATAATAATAAAATTATATATATGTATATATATATGTATATATACATATCATTAATTTATATCAATTTTGATTCGTAAAATCTTCTAATGGATTACATAATGTCATGAAGAGCTATTAATGTATTTCAACAATGGCAAAGAGTGTGACAATATTGTCAAATCATACTTTGCCATATAAAATCTAAATATTCAATCATGTTTTTTATAGTTGTATATTAAAAAAAAATTTATGAAAACACAAGTAAGGATCTTTGGTATAAAATCATGATATAGTTATTAAAAATATTCAAATTTTAAAAAATATGTTTTATATAAACTTTTACAAGATTTTATGTCTTCATTTCAAGTAGTAACTCCATCAAATCTTGATCATTTTATTTTAATTATGTATATATTTCCTATGCTTGATAAATGATTTTTATATTATATTTTTTTGAAAAATAAAAAATATATATTTATTTTTTTGTTATTAAACATTAAATTATATCAAGAAATGTGTCTCTTATATGTTATTTTAACTTTTTAATTCCAAAATTTCAACAATGAGAAAGTTTTAACAGGTTTTTACACAAGCCTCACTCATATGTAATAGTTAAAAAATTGGATTTAATTTTTAATTGAATGCTCCATATCTAATTAAAAGTATTTGCACATGTATGTAGAACTCTTAATCCATAATAATCTTTAAAAAAAAAAAAAAAAAAAAAAAAAAAAAAAGTAGATGACAAGATTATTATGGCCAAAACAGATACTTTAGCTAGTTTCCAGTGAAAAACTATTTTATTGGTTAAAGTATTTAAACTACAGACCAGGCGATCAGTTTACATAATACAAGGCTTACTCTTTGAATGAAAAACTTTAAGTAAGTGATTTTTAAAAAAATTAAAATAGTTAAAGAATGCCATTATTTGTTTATGAAAGTTTTTTCTACATAGATTAAATTTTCTATACAGATTAAATTTACTTAGCATTGAAGTGTAAAGAAGAATAAAATTTTGATTTATAGGTGACTAGTTCCATAGTTAATACTTTTTATAGAGAAAATCTTTATTGATAATTTTAAAAAATGATCAAAAAAATGATTATTTAAACACTTTAGGTTTGGGATCTTAAGCAAACAACATACCTTAAAGAGAGGAAAACAAAATAGAGAGAGGGACGCAAAAGAAGAAACAAAAATAGAATGGAAAATATATATTAGAATATTAAAAATTACCATAACAGATAGAGTGGAATCTCTTTAGATTGGAAAAAGAAAATTTCCAATAAAAATTTATGAAAATATTAGACACCAATTAAACTAATACTTTGAGTATCAACAAATCCTTTTAAACAAATAAAAAGCCAAGGTATACTATTAAAAAATTGATGTCATATTTCTATACATAGATACTTATATTTAAAGCACCTAAGTACCATACTAAGATAAAAATCATAGTGTCGAAATATTGTTGTGAAGAATAAGTCAAACAATTGTATAATTTACTTCTTGCTGAATATACTTCTATAAACAATAAATATACATAGAAGTTTAAAAAGTCTATATACTTACAATACAAATTAAAAAAATAGAGACTAAGATGGAAAAATCAACTTTAAATAATGTTTGATAATAATTGGATTTAGTTCTTTTGTGAGATAGTATAAGATTACTTAGAATTTAAAAAGATATATCTATCATATACAACATAGCATTTTTAATTTTTAGACTCTTTTATGGAAGATAAGAATTAAATTATCCATTAGATAATATATGATATAAAATTTTGCTTTTAACTTACTTAAATTTCTAATATTTAAGCAAAAATATTATCATTTTCTTTAAATTATTTTCTTTTGTAGAATACAGAGCTTTATTGTTATTTCTAAACTTCTTCTAATAGAACTCTCTATTTAAATTTAATATTTTTTGAAAGCAATATTTTGTATTTAGAAGTGAAGAAAACTTAATACATGTTATGGTTACTATTTTAAATAATTTTAGCTAAGTTTTTTGACATAGCATTAATTAGATCAACTTTATTATATATTGAGAAAGAGACAAATTCCTAAAATTTTGTTAGAAAACTTTATTAAGTTAGAATGTATATAAGGAATTATTTAGTATATGTAAAAAAATGATTTTTAAATTGAAATTTTAGATTTATTTAATTTATTTACTTTTAAAATTTGTGTGTTTCAAATCAAACCACACGTCTATAAAAAGTTTAATTGTAGTTTGAAAAAACATCATAGTAAACAACATCTTATTTAATTTTCTTGTACTATTTTATCTCCATTTACATAGGTT